AAAGAAAGAAAGAAAAGAAAAAAAGAAAATCAAAAGTTTGGTTGGGTGCAGTGGTTCATGCCTACAATCCCAGCACTTTGGGAGGCCAAGGCAAGCAGATCACGAGGTCAAAAGATCGAGACCATCCTAGCCGACGTGGTGAAACCCCCGTCTCTATTAAAAATAAAAAAATTAGCTGGGTGTGGTGGCGCGCACCTGTAGTCCCAGCTACTTGGGAGGCTGAGGCACGAGAATCGCTTGAACCCAGGAGGCGGAGGTTGCAGTGAGCCAGAGATTGCTCCACTGCACTCCAGCCTGGTGACAGAGCAAGACTTTGCCTCACAAAAATAGAAAAAAATGTTTGTTTTATTCAAAAAACCTAAATAAATTCACCTTGCCTGCTGGTCTTTGTTTCCTGTCACTGTTCGTGGAGGGGCTTCAGGAGAGCTGTTTGTGTGTGATAGGGCAAGGCCTGGCTGGCCCCCATCCACCACTGGGGTCAGTTCCGTCCTGGGCTTGGCCAGAGCCAGCCACCAGTTATTCAGGCAAAAGGATTACCCCGAAGCACAGAGCTGGCGAATGAACACATTCCGCACGCATCAGGGTGCAAATCAGCCTCAAGAAGCACCAAATTACTAAAAGAAAAAAGAAACAACAGCCACACACACATACACACACAGCCATGCAAAAAATCAAACAAAAAAAGCATACAGCCCAATAACAAACCCAGCCAGGTACATAGAGTGGAAAGAGGGAACCTCTCTTGCTTCAGGCACAGAGCATAGGCAGCCACCCCTGCAGTGTACGCAGAATCTGACAGTTTCAACCCAAGTCCTGGGGGACTTGGAGGGCTGGCCCTTCAAAGACAATCACCTCTATGAGCGACTTCAAAAACTCTTCCCTCTTCAAAAAAGTTGCTGGCTGCTCTGGGAATGAAAAGAAATAGTGACCCAGCACAGTGTCTGGGTTTAAGTGAACCTTTCTTCCCTTCCCATTCCAATTAGCAACAGGCTTGCAATGTCAGTGGTCCCAGGCCAGGGAGCATGTGGACATCAGCTCACCTTAGGCGTAGATGACAGCTGTTGCAACCCTCCTGCTGTCTTAGCTCAAGGTGCTGCAACAAATCACTTCCCTCCAGGAGTGCCTGGCCAGGCCTCACAACCCCCACCCCCAAAGAGCTATTTTCCTGGAAACATCCTAAGTAGTGGTAGAAGATGAGAAAATGATTTCACTCCTTCCAAAGAACCCACCCACAGCCTGGGTGACTTCAACAACAGACATTTATTTCTCATGGTTCTGGGGGCTGGAAGACCAGGATCAGGGTGCCAGCATGGTGAGGTTCTGGGAACAGCCCCCTCTGGATTGCATACTGCCATCTTCCTGTGTGTTCTCACATAGCAGAGAGAATGAGAGAGCTTTGTGAGATCCCCTTCATGAAGGCCCCACTCCCACTCATGAGGGTGAGGGCTCCACCCTCACAACCTAATCACTTCCCAAAGGCCCCACTCCCTAACACCATCGCACTGGGGGTTAGGATCTCAACAGATGCATTTTGCGGGGACACACACATTTGGTCCTCTGCACCCGTGTACTAGGTTATGGGGAAGGAAGGGTGCTGCAAGCTCCTGAATGAGGGGAGACCACGGAAGTGGGGCCATCAGATGTGGCTGGCTGGGCCTCAGTGGGACACTTGCCCATTGGTGAAGTGCCTGACCTCCCATCAGGGCTCCTTTAGCTGCCAGTGGCAGAAACCCAAGACAAACCAACCTAAATCTAAAAAGGGAGAATGGGCAGGGCGGGGTGACTCATGCTTATAATCCCAGCACTTTGGGAGCCTGAGGAGGGTGGATCACGAGGCCAGGAGTTCGAAAACCACCCTGTCCAATATGGTGAGACCCCGTTCTTACTAAAAAATACAAAAATTAGCCAGGGAAGGTGGTGCACACCTATAGTCCCTGCTATTCGGGAGGCTGAGGCAGGAGAATGGTTTGAACCCATGAGACAGGGGTTACAGTGAGCCAAGATCGTGCCACTGCACTCCAGCCTGGGCAACAGAGTGAGACTCCATCTCAAAAAAGTAAAAAATAAAAATAAAATAAAAAGAGAGAGGCCGTCATGCCTGTAATCACAGCACTTTTGGGAGGCAGGCGGATCACGAGGTCAGGAGTTCGAGACCAGCCTGACCAATATGGTGAAACCCCGTCTCTACTAAAAATATAAAAATTAGCCGGGCGTGGTGGCAGGCAACTATAATCCCAGCTACTCAGGAGGCTGAGGCAGGAGAATTGACTGAACCTGGGAGGCAGAGGTTGCAGTGAGCCGAGATTGTGCCACTGCAGTCCAGCCTGGGTGACAGAGTGAGACTTCATCTCAAATTAATTAATTAAATAAAAAGAGAGAATGAGCTAGCCACAGTTGCTAAGAAGCCCAGGCCCTGGCCATCTCTTACAGCTGTTCCTTTGCATTTCTTTCTTCTCAGATAGCCTCTCCCTCTTTGCGTGGCGGCACAGACAGCCTCCAGCATCTCCAGGTCCTTGGGGTTCTCGGTGCCCAGGACCTCGGGAGATGAGCTACTCTCTCTCTCAGTAGTGCCAGCAAACACTTTATGGAGGGCTCCTATTGGCCAGGGCTTGTCACAAGCCCACCTCTGTTGCCATGGGCAGCCCCATGTGAACCACGTGGACTGAGAGTGGGCATCAAGAATCCCACCGCAAGATGCCCAGAAAAGTAGATAAACAGGCCAAACATGTGCAAAAAGTAGAAAACATATTCCCGCTACCGCATGTCCTGCTCTCTGGAGTCACTGAAGTTCATGACTTAGCTTGGGAAGACCTTGAGTCCCACCTCATTCCCCGGCCGTTCCCACTACTGCTCACTTCTCCCACCAAGCCAGCCCCTCCTGCCAGGCCCCGGTTCTGGCCCACCCTCGCCACTGTGTGACAAAGATCAATCAGTGGGGAATGGGGGTCTGTGGGTAAAGGCCCCAGCCTCCCACACTCCACAGGGGCAATTGTGGGGTGCCTTCTTCATGGGATTGAGACCTGAGGCTCACATCAGTAACCAGATGGTAAGTCCTCTTTACTGGTTTTCCCCTGCCCTGCCTCATTCTCCCCTATCCTCACTCCTGCTTACCAGGCATATCTCCCAAATAAACCTCCTGCGCCAGCATTCTCCTCTCAGGCTCTCCTCTTGGAGGTCCCCAAAGTAAGACAGCTGCAAGGAAAACAGAGCTGGGTTTGGACGCTGAGAGAGTTGGGAAACAGGTTGTAGGGAGGTGCAGGAAGCACACACCAAGACCCAGAGGGAGGCCTCCGTGTCGTCCTGAGGAGGGAGGACAAGGACAGGGACTCTCAGGAAGAAGGGATCCGCTTCAGAGAAGGCCCCTTAACATGAGACAGAGCAAGGACAGGGAGAGGCACCGCCGGATGGCAGAAGGACAGGATCCATAGAGAAAGAGAGATGAGGGAAATGAAAGAGGAGAAATAGAACTGTTGAAGAGTTCAACATCACCTTACGATGCAACTAGTCTGGTCCAGTGCCCAGCACAATGCAGCCCCTCCATTCTGATGTGGTGGCCAAAAGAACTGAGATTCTTGGGGAGGGTGCAGTGGCTCATGCCTGTCATCCCAGCACTTTGGGAGGCTGAAGCAGGCGGATCACTTGAGGTCAGGAGTTCGAGACCAGCCTGGCCAACATGGCAAAGCCCTATCTCTACTAAAAACACAAAAATTAGCCAGGTATGGTGGCATGTGCCTGTAATCCCAGCTACGCAGGAGGCTGAGGCAGGAGAATCACTTAAACCCGGGAGGCAGAGGTAGCAGTGAACCAAGATCACACCACTGCACTCCAGCCTGGGTGACACAGTGAGACTCCATCTCAAAGAAAAAAAAAGAATTGAGATTCTTGCTGGTAAGCTCATTATTTAACATGTAGGCAAATTCTTCTAAAAGCTTGAAAACATACCTATCAAAGGTTAAACTCCTTATTATAATTCTGCTTAATCTTAATTTGTTCAACAAACCATTTTCAGTTCAAGAGGTCCAAATCAACTGTATAAAAGACAGCTTTGAGACAATGAGGGAAATTTAAATATGGGTTCCGTTTTCTTTCTTTTTCTTCTTTTTAACTTTTTTTCCAGTGACACAGTCTCAGAAGGCCCTGAGAACATGTGCCCCAATTTCATTTTAGATGCTAATAAGGAAGTCTAGTTAATTTTACCAAGTATAATGATGGCATGACGGTGTAATTATTCTTCAATGCTTCCTTCTGCATTCAAGATAGATGCAAATGGAAGTTTTGGGTGAAATACTGTAATGTCTGGGATTAATCTTTAAAAACTTTGGCAAAACTATTTTTAGTATACATTAGAATTTTTTATAATTTTATAATCTTTAATATATATTATAACCTATATATAAGTAAATATATATCTCAACAAGATCAGCAAAATGTTGAGAATTGCTAAAGCAAAGTGACAGATACATGGGAAGGGAGTCCATAATACCAGACCCTCTCTTTCTGGGTGAAATTTCCAGAAGAAACACTTTTTGGAAATGTCTGGTTCAGCCTGGCCCATCCCCTGCCAGGGGAATTCTGCATTCCTGGAAAGGGAGGAGGGGGAATGGGGAGAGGAGAGGGAAAAAGGGAATGTGGCATGGAGCTAAGCTATATTGAAGCGCACATTTGATTTCACTGCCTGGCAGATGTCCCAGGGCCTTGCGGGGAAAACAGACTGTCAGTGCCGGTGTGAAGCAGTGAACCAAGACAGAGATCTAGCAAATCAAACCAGGAAGGAGTGGTAAGAACCAGCTGCAAGGGGCAGGAGAGGCAAGTCCTGACGCTCACAGGAAAAAGCCAAAGCCGCAAATATCAGGGCCTTGAGCTCTACCCCAGCCCTGCTTGGGCCTCAGGTGTCCCATGGAAGCCAACTCCCTCCACCCAAGGGGGCATCGTGGTATTCCTGCTGTGCAGCTGTCCCTCTATAGTAAATGATACTGTGTAGGGAGAGAAGCCTTTAGACCATTTGTAACTGTGCAATGGGTTCACCTTGCCTGCTGCCTGTAGACAGAACCGATTTATCAAGACTAAAGAGTAATTCATGCAGAGCAGGCTGTGCAGGAGATGGTAGTTTTACTATTACTTAAATCAGTCTCCCCCAAGCATTAGGGGATCAGAGTTTTTAGACAATTTGGTGGGTAGGGGCTTGGGAAGTGGGGAGTGCTGATTGGTCAGGCTGGAGGTAGAACCCCGCCTGGTCAAGTCAGGTTTTCTTACTGTCTTCTGTTCCTGGTGCGATGGCAGAACCGGTTGGGCCAGATTGTGGGTCTGAGTGGGGTCAGCTGATCCATGGAGTGCAGGCTCCACAGCATATCTCAAGCACTGATCTTAGGTTTTACAACAGTGGTGTTACCCCAGGAGCAATGTGGGGAGGTTCAGACTCTTGGAGCTCAGAGCTTCATGGCCCTAAATTGTCATTTATGATCTTGCAGCTACTTTGTCAGTCCCGCAAAGGCAGACTGGTCCCCAGGCGAGAAGGGGGGCTTTTCGGGAAAGGTCTGTTATCAATTTTGTTTTAAAGTCAAACCATGAACAGAATTCCTTCCCAAAGTTAGTTTGACCTATGCCCAGGAATGAATAAGAACAGCTTAAAGGTTAGAAGCAAGGTGGAGTTAGGTCTGATTTATTTCACTGTCATCATTTCCTCAGTTATAATTTTGCAAAAGTGGTTTCACAATTGCAAAGGAAGCTGGGATCCCTGTCTTCTTTCCCGCCTCAGAAATGAGGTTCCTATCTCTCCCTTCATAACCTTGATCCGCAGTCGCCTGTGGCCAGCTCAGCCCACCTCTTCCCTTGCTTACTTCAGATTCCTTCCAGGGCCAGGGCCAGACCACTACTCAAATCCCCTCCCACCCACCCCAGACAGAATCCTCCTGAGTCCAGGAGACTCTGAGAGTGCAGAAGGAACTGCCAAGGGGCCTATTCAGGGGTCTGCCAGTGTCCCCTCTGGGGCCTCGCTTCAGCCAGCTTAAGCCAGACCGTCAGGTGCCAGAGACTTCCAGACAGAGACAGATCCTCCCTGCAGAAGGTTGGTGTTTCATCTCAAGCAAATGTCCCCAGTCACACCCCAGAAAAGCACCCCTGAGGCTATGATGACTGCCCTTTAATTCCTGAGAAAACACCAACCCTCACAGCTTCACCTTTCCTGTGTAGAAAATGTGTACATTTCTCTGAGGGAGAGCTGGTAGGTGCTGTGCCAGTCACATGGAGCAAAGCCTCCCCCACCAGGTCTGAGACAGTCACAGAACAGGGGGCTCTCTCCCTCTCTTGGGCTTGGATTTGGCCTCTGACCTCAAATCTGGAGCTGGTCTGCACAGCCCAGCAATGATCTGGGGCTCATGGAAACAGTCTAGGAACCCCCTCCATACTTCAGTGTGGAGCAATTGAGGGTCCTGCCTCACCTTGGGGGAGCATGTTGGGTGTTCATTACTCGGTTAATTTAATTGGATGATGGAACTGAGGCTTAGAAGCCTTACAAGACCTGTCCCCAAAGAACTCACATCTGAAGATTAGAATCTGAACCTGACTTGCAATGCCCAGGTGCCATAAATATACATGTAGAAATGGAAAGACAGGTATAGATTGATGGATAGTTCTTTACTTGCCCCATCTGTGCCCCAAACACATACACTCACAGACATTTCTAGCCATCTTCTGCTTGCCAACCCATCCTCACCTCTTCCTGCAGAGGGATAGCCATCAGGAAATGCACTTCCTGGCCATGTTGCAGGGGTTCAGTCAGGGTGGTGGGAGAAATTATAAGAGAAAAATTATAGAGGAAATGATGCAAACCTTCTTGGAAGGCCAGGAGGTTTTTGCAAAAGTCTCAGCAAGGAATGAGCTGAAGGCATTTGTTCTTACCCAGAAGCAATTAGGCAGGAGTAGGTACAAAGGAATGTAAGGGAGTTTATCTAAAGAGCTTGTTTGCTCATGGGGTCCTAGACCAACCTTTGAACATGACTGCTGTCTACTCAGGGAGTCAACAATGTTATTACCCACAAATGGCATTTGCTTTAGGCCTCAGAACCTGGCCTTTAATCACTCGTAGGAATGCTGTCTCCGGGGAGGGCAACCATGTTGATTATCCACAAGTGTGTTGACTCAAAGCCTTTGTCGTTAAATCTATACTGAATAAATGTCTGCAGCACCAGCTGGTGAGGGCTGTGGTGCTGACTTTTTACAGCACCCTCCTCAGGGTCTGTCAGTGTCCTGGACCCCTAGCCCACTCTTTCGCTGGATATATGTGTCTCAGTGTATTTGTTCATGTCTCTGGGTCAGGGTCTGTTGGTCAGACTCAACACCATGTCACTATCCTAATGGTTTTTGTTTGTTTGTTTGCTTGCTTGCTTTTATTGTGCTTGTTTGTTTGCTTTAGAGATGGAGTCTTGCTCTGTTGCCCAGCCTGGAATACAGTGATGCCATCATAGCTCACTGCAGGCTCAAACTCCTGGGCTCAAGTGATCCTCCTGCCTCAGCCTCCTGAATAGCTAGAACTACAGGAACATGCCACCATGCCTGGCTAAGTTTTTTCATCTTATTTTTTAGAGGTAGGGTCTTGCTATGTTGCCCAGGCTGGTCCAAACTCCTGGCCTTAAGTGATCCTCACCATTTCAGCCTCCCAAAGTGCTGGGAAGTGTCCTAAAGTTGAGTAGCTTACAGCCTGGGTTGACTGTAAACACACACACACACACAGAGCTGGCTCCAGGGCTCACCCACAGATCTGCCTGCCTTCCCACCAGCACTGCCAGAAGCCCTCTCCATTACTCCCCTGCCCTGCTCCTTCTCTAGGGTGAAGAGTTCTTTAAATCATAGTCATTGTTGCTGGGTGTGGTGGCTCACGAATGTAATCCCAGCACTTTGGGAGGGCAAGGTGGGCAGATCACCTGAGGTCAGGAGTTTGAGACCAGCCTGGCCAAATGGAGAAACCCTATCTCTACTAAAAATAAAAAAATTAGCTGGGCATGATGGCAGGTGCCTGTAGTCCCAGCTACTCAGGAGACTGAAACAGGATAATCACTTGAACCTGGGAAGCAGAGGCTATAGTGAGCCAAGATCATGCCACTGCACTCCAGCCTGGGTGACACAGGGAAACCCCTTCTCAAAAAAAAAAAAAAAAAAAAAATCATAGTCATCGTTTCCCTGATCTTCACTCCATCCACTCTTTTTCATTTCCATATATTTTACCTGTACATTTGTTTACTAATTAATATCTACCCCGATAAGAATGTAGGCTCTGCCGGGCATAGTGGCTCATGCCTGTAATCTTAGAACTTTGGAAGGCTGAGGCAGGTGGATATCACCTGAGGTTTGGAGTTCAGAACCAACCTGGCCAACATGGTGAAACCCCGTCTCTGCTAAAAATACAAAAAATTAGCTGAGCATGGTGGTGGGCATCTGTAATCCCAGTTACTTGGAAGGATCAGGCAGGAGCATCACTTGAACCTGGGAAGCAGAGGTTGCCGTGAGCAGAGATCACACCATTGCACTCCAGCCTGGACAACAAAAGCAAAACTCCATCTCAAAAAAAAAGATAAAAGAAAGAAAAAAAAAGAAAGAATGTAGATTCCCAGCAGGCAGGGATTGTCTTTTGGCCCGTTTTGTTTCCAGCCAGATCCCCAGCACCCAGGCTAGATCCTGGCATAGAGTAGGTACAATCTGTTGGCTGAATGGGTTTTTAACCTCAAAAGCTGATGCCTCATGTCCCCTTAGCATTTAGGTACAAAAAAGATGCGTGAGGGGAGGTGGAATGCTGGGCAGTCTATCCACTTAGAGGACTCCAAGCCAGGCATGGTTGCCAAAGCCTTGTCATGTGGACAAGATTGGAGGGAGATTGGGGATCAACAAGTAGAATGTGACAGAAGGCAAGCTTTGGCTTAGTCTCACCATCAGAACCACTCTTTGATAGCAGCGCCAGCTGGGGCAGACTGTGGGCAGATTGCTGCGGCAATGGCACCCAGGTGTGACTCCTGCCTTCTGGTGTCCACCCCCGAGGTCGTCTCCCTGCAACACTGAGACACTGGGTTTGGCCACGTGACCTGCTTGTCACAGTGGGACAACAGCAAACAAGACACAAGCAAAGGTTGGAAAAGGGCTTGCCCATGGGGGCTTGTCCTCTCTCGCTGCAGGGAAGTCTTCAGGCACCGTGCAAAGGAGCCCACACTGGCCTCCAAGAGGGTAAGCGACCCTGTGGAGAGAGGCCCCAGCCATCCCAGCTGTATTAGTTGGTCTTTTTTTTTTTTTTCCTATATTTTCTGATGCTGTGACATCTTGGGACCTCATTGACACTGCAGGGACTGATCCTCCCAGATTAGCTAATTCCCAGAGATAGCAAACAGCTCAAGGGGTGCATGCCTTTCAAATGAAAATCAACCAGTCTAGAGTCCCCACCCCAACCACCTCCTCTATTGAGCTGTCATACTCAGGGCCACTGTCCCCTCCCCTAATCTTCCCAGGGCCAGGTACCAGACAACTAGAGCCAGCCCCCATGCTCCAGAGCCCACTGAAATTACTCAAACTAGCCAATCCTAAACCTGCTTACCCTCACTTGCCTTGCTTTTTCTATGCAGTTGAACTGGTGCTCAAACCATGCCAGCTGGACTAATTGTCCATCTCTCAGCTTTGCTTCCTTCATCACTGGCTTTATTCTTAGATAGTGGCAAAGACGACCATCAAAAACTCCAGGCCTATACCTTCCAGATTGGCAGCTGCCCAGGAAAGAGAGCTCTCCTTCCTAATTGTTTCAGCAAAAGTCCCAGAGCTGACTCTCATTGGTCTGGCTCGAATCACATGCCTATTGTTGAAACAATCACTGGGGCCAGGAAAATGCAGGACTGTGATTGGTTAGATTTGAGTCAAACCAAGGAAGGGATTAATTGCACTTGGAATAAGAATGGGGACAGGGTAGTTTCCCAAAGGAAAAGAGGGTCTGTCACCAAAAAGCGGGAGGAAGGGGTCCTGGGAAGGCAGAAACAACAGATTCCCTCCAGGAATGCTCTGAGCCTTTCTTTCCTGGCCTGATTTCTGACGGCTTTCTGGAATCTTGTCCCAGTCTGAATTTCTTTCTGAGAGAAGGAAGAGGCTCACTCCCTTTGACCCTTTACTTTTGTACCGAGAACCAAAACCAGTTCTGACTGGCTCTTAATGTCAACCACTTAGCACCAAATAAAAAATAATGTTTGACCCTGGGCTTAGAAAAGGGTGGAATGATTGTCCTTGGCTCTGACAACTGCTTCTGATTAAGAATGAAGAACATTTTTGTTATCGGTTATAGTGGATTGGGACTTGATATTCAATCATCCAAATTGTTATTCCTTTCAATGGGGTTATTTTATTGGTCTTTCTGCTTTGTCTGGGGTCATTCTTTTCCATGGGGAAATTTGTTCTTTTTTTCCTTCCTTATAATGGAGGTCACGTTGCTGACACCTTATGTTGTAGGGATGGCTCTTCTGATTGCTTTACAATAAGCCTGATGATCAGAAGGATTCCTTACAGCAGAACAGCACCTTGCCATCTATAAAGCACTTTCACACACATTATATTTGATCTCTACAATAAGCAGCATTGGGGAGAACAAATAGTATTATAACCACTTTCTATAGTTATGGAAATAGTCCCAGAGAGGTTAAGTGACTGGTTAAAGGTCACAGAGCTATGTTGCCTTAGGTAGCACGAAAATATGGGCAAGGAATAAGCAGGTATTTGTTCAAGGCTTGATTTATTTAACAAGATAAGGCTTTATTGTTACAAAGCTAATCTGGGCTAACTCCCCAGCTCCCTTCTTATTTTGGTACACAAACTACATAGCCCTGAAGGGATACACACACACACACACACACACACACACACACACACACACACAAACCCTGGGCCACCAATAGCCATGGCTAGAACCCAGCCAAGCTTGTTAGCATGCAGCCTCACCCACGAGCAGGTCTGGGAGATGCAGCCCCAGTCTGGCCCAAGGGCAGGTGTCCAGGAGCCCACGGCTCGGCTCAGTCCTCCCAGGAGCTCCTCATCTCACCCAGCACTTCCTCTCCTCAAACGGGTCGGTGGCTGAGGCTATGGGTAGGGCTAGGGCTTTGTCAGGAGGGAGGAGGCAAGTCTGGTAGGGCCTGGGGGGCTGGGGAAATCTCAAGTCCTGAATGGAAACTCCAGGCTGATACGCTGAAAGCATCCCTTCCAGGGACTCTCCTCTCCCTCTACATCCTTGCCTTTTCCCTCTGTGCCTGAACCTTGCACAGAAAATCCTGATTAAAAGGATGGCTGGGCCGGGGGTGCTGGTGCTCACGCCTGTAATGCTGGCATTTTGGGAGGCCGAGGCAGGCGGATGACCCGAGATTGGGAGTCCGGGACCAACCTGATCAATATGGAGAAACCGCATCTCTATTAAAAATACAAAATTAGCCAGGCATAGTGGTGAATGCCTCTAATCCCAGCTACTCGGGAGGCTGAGGGAGGAGAATCACTTAAACCCAGGAGGAGGAGGTTGTGGTGAGCCCAGATCACATCACTACATTCCAGCCTGGGCAACAAGAGCAAAACTCTGTCTCAAAAAAAAAACCAGAATGGCTGGAGGTCTTCCTTGATTTCTACGTGACCCATAAAGTCTACTCATTGCCAGAGAAAAGCAGAGAGCAAGGTCACCAGAGTAGATGCTATCTCCATTGTCCCTCCTGTCGTGGGAGGAAGGGCCTCCTAGGAGATTGCTAGAATTCCTTGTCATGATTCGAGGAATCTCCAGGCAAATCTCTCTATTTGAACACTCTGCCTGTGTCCTAACAAGCAAGGTAAATGGCAACCCCTGCAGAAGTGGTCCCTGACCCCAACCCTGTCATCCCCATCTCTGGGACTCATTGTGGATATCCTGGGCATTCAGCATGACAGACTGGCCAGCAGGGAATTGACCTAGCCCCAGAGCTCTCTGGGAAAGAAACCTCAGCATTGGCCCCTGACTCCACTCTGGGGTTTTCATAGGTCCAGGCACCTTCTCAGCATCCAGGTGAAAGCACCTTCCAGCATCCAGCACTTATTAAACCCTGCCCAACACAGCCTGGGTAAAGCCTTCCCTGGATGCTTCTTGGATGTGCACTGCTGGGGGACTTCTATTCTGGAAGATCCTGCAGCCGAGAAGAATAGGAAATGCCAGAAACTCATCTATCTGATAGGATTTTTTTTCCCCCATAGGAGAAAAACCCAATCACACCATCTCCCACTTGGAATAACTGCAATTACCCACTCCCCATAAGTGGAAGAACAGCAGGACTAATCAAATGACAGCACTCTGGGAAGCCAATGTGTGCCAGTACCAATCCTTTTGAGAAGCCCACATGGAAAGCTACACATTCTATTTGTCTTGTCTGGGGGGAAAATGAGTTTTAAATATGTTGAATCAAAAATGATATATACCAGACACTAGTGATCCAGAACAAATGACTTGGGAGAAAAATGACTCTGAAAATGTTCAGTATTCAGATTGCCAAAGAACTGGAAATTTAAGCTGAAATACAAGCACAGAACATTCACATTGGACACCCACATGCCCCTGACCAGGCCCCACTGAAATGGGTCCTCAGACAGAGCGCTGGTCCCTGAGCACTGGCCTCAGCAGCTTTCCCCAGTGACACTCCCTGGCAACCTCCTAGCGAGCTTGTGTCTTCCTGTTGGGCCAGGCTGCCAAGGCCTGAAGAACGTGAGTCTGCCCCACAGAGCCAGACTGACCAGGTTGAGGAAAGGCTGGGGAGGTAAAGAAGAGGTTCACTTTCCATCAGTTTCCCAAGCCCGGCAGACAATGATGCCATTTAAAAGTCAGTTAACAGCCGGGCAAGGTGGCTCACGCCTGTAATCCAAGCACTTTGGGAGGCTGAGGCAGGTGGATCACAAGGTCAGGAAATCAAGACCATCCTGGCTAACACAGTGAAACCCCATCCTGGCTAACACAGTGAAACCCTGTCTCTACTAAAATACAAAAATTAGCAGGGTGTGGTGGCACGTACCTGTAGTTGCACCTACTTGGGAGGCTGAGGCAAAATCGCTTGAACCCAGGAGATGGTGCCAGTCGAACCCGGGAGGTGGAGGTTGCAGGGAAACAAGATCTCGCCATTGTACTCCAGCCTGTGCGACAGAGAGAGACTCCAAAAAAACAAAGATCAGTTTACAGCCAGGCACGGTGGCTCACGCCTGTAATCCCAGCTCTTCGGGAGGCTGAGGCAGAATCGCTTGAACCCAGGAGGCAGAGGTTGCAGTGAACCAAGACAGTGCCATTGCACTCCAGCCTGAGACACAGTGAGACTCCGTCTCAAAAAAAAAAAAAAAAAAAAAAAAGCCAGTTTACAAACCATGGAGGGCACTGATTGTTCTCTTCCAAGGAAAACCGGTGAGGTAGAAAGCTCTTGGTAGTAGACATTGGGCTCTAACCCCAGCTCTACTCATAGCCGCTAGTGCCAAAGGTCTTGGACAAATCCCTTCTCTTCTCTAGTCCTTAGTTGATAAATTAAGAAACTGGATTTAAATGCTCTCTTTCAGTTCTACAACCAACATATATATTTTTTTTCTTTTCACTCTTTCAAGAGTCTGTAGAAAAGGGTGGAAAAAGCTACCTCTTTTTTTCAAGAGGGTAGAGCATGGTGAATAAGAGCAGTCTTTCAAATCAGCCTGCATGGGTTTGAATCCCAGCCCGGCTGCTTTCAAACTGTGTGACCCTGATCAAGTAACTTAACCTCTCTGTGCTTCCAGTTTTGCTTCTGTACCGTGAAGATAGTAGCATCTGTCTCACACCCTTATGAAAGGACACGATGAATTAGCACTCAAAGGCTTTCCTATAGCTCCTAGCACATAGCTATTATTTCTTCAGCAACTACTGTATACCACACTCTCCCAGGCAACTGCAGATACAAAAATGATCAAGAGCCATGGTCCTTGCCCTCTAGGATAGTACTGTCTCCTAGGAAAATGTTACCCTGGCAGCCTCTCTCTTGACAGTCACATGTTTGCATCCCTAAAGGTGGGATAGTTTCTGACCTTCTGCCCGGGCTCGAGTTTGGGCATGGAGCAAGACCCCCCACAGGTCTCCGAAGCGCAAACCAGCGTCCTGACTCTTGATTTTTTTCTTTTCTGCTTCTTTACTGCTTTTCCCCCCTCCTGATTCTACTTGACATCTAACTTCAAAGAGAATAGAAATAAACCAAAGCTCCTGCAAAAGAGGCTGTCCTCCTCTCCACTGCCTTCCCTCCGCCTGTTGGTATTGCATCACTCCTGCTCACCGCCTTGCTCCATTTGCCCCGTTTAGGGAGCTACGCGATCCCTCAGTGCCTCCCTGCCCTCCTAAGAACACACTCTGGCCTTGCTCTTCCTAGAACCCGACACAGCTGTAATCTTCTTGGTTCCTGAGGACACTGGCTGCAGGAACATTCAGCTGTGTTTTCCCAGGGGATGGGGGAGGGGGCAAGACAAATGGTTCAGCCCCTGCTCAGTCAGCAGGGAAGGTAATCGGGATTAATCCGAGCACTGCCAAATGCAGATGAGTCCCCAGCCTAGGAGGGAGGGCAGGCAGCTGCTGTCTCAGGGGCCAGCTGCAGCTGCCAGGGGGTCCGGGAATGAGGAATGAGGCACTGGCACAGAACAGAGAGCCCCAAGGGGTTTGGACAGCATCATGGAGGTCAGAGGCTGCCCAGCCCAGTCTGGCCAGGAGGGCTGCTTGGTTGATGCCTTTCATGGCAGGCTAGGGAGTTGGCAGGCTAACTGTGTATGCCC